TATGTAACTGGGCTCCCACACACGTACACACACACACACACACACACACACACACACACCAGGTTTCCCTGTTACAGGCTCCCATCTGATCCCATTTTGTTACAGGAATTTGGAGCGGGGCAGAGGTGGGTGGGGGGTGGTTCTTGCGGTTTGCCATTCACAAGCCAAAACTCGGGAGACAAGAGTTGGTGGAAGGAAGTCAGACTTAACCAGGTGCTGGCAAAACTGAGGACATGGTGGGCTACTGTCTCCCAGGTCACCTCCCCAAGCCGGGGGTGGCGGGGGACTGTGGGGGAGCAAGGATCTGTTTGGAGGGGAGTAGGGCAGAGGGAGGCTAACAGGAAGATGCCACTCCGAGAGGTCAGCAGACACCTGTCGGAAGTATTCCTGCAGCTCAACAACTGACATGGCATTCTGGTGTTCCAGCCAAGTGGACACATAGGCCCCCCAAAATGATCTGAGGCTTCCCTTACCTTGAATTCTTTCAGCAATTCCATGGGGACATGCCATGTTTCCTGGCTCCTTTAGAAAGAGTTTTGATGAGCCCATTTCATTTGCATGCCTCTTAAACTGGCCATCCCAGTTTCCTCAACTGCAAAATTTAATCTTCCCAATCCTAGCGGGAATGCAAAGACAATAAAATGTTCGGGGTACTAGGTATCTCTCAGTAGAAAAGAACTGTATGAATCTGGGGCTGATAATCCCTAATTCGTTGACCTGTTTTGCCCTTGACTGTCAACATTTCTCCTCCTAACCTCTGGAGCAGGATGAAACTCATTTGGCTCCAATTTGCTCTCTGAAACATTGGGGAAATTTCAATGAAAGAAAAGGTGGAGACACTGAATTTGTGTTTGGTTTCGGGCTGCAGATTTCCCCCTTGGCACCCAACGCAGAGTCATGGTGAGGCAGTGTCTGACTCTCTCACCTGGAAGGTTCAGCACAGAGGCAGGTGGTCCCCAGGCCAAGGATGTACCCCCTGCTCATCGCCTCCTTCCCTTGACTGACAGGCCCTTTATTGCTATACCTGCCACCTCCCCAACAATCTCCAGAGTCAACATTGGGTCCAGCTGACAAAAGACACTGGTTCAGACGTGCCCCATGGTTAATGGCACATAAGCCCAGGGATGTCAAGGGAGGGGACAGCAAGCTGCCTACAGGCGCAGGGTCTTGCTTTTATTTTTCCCGACATTTCCAACTTCACCAGCAGGGTGGCACCGAAATAAAGCATCTGAGGGCCCCAAAAGACAAACATGAGGCACGTTGTGTAGGCAAACCCAAGCACCCTTCCACAGGTTGGATCAACTACAAAGAAGAGAGCAGTTCATGTTTTTAAAATTATCAGAGCAAGGATGATTTCAAATCTGAAAATTTTCCATCTCAACTGTCAGAGGAAAAAATGCTTTTTGTTTTATTTGACTTAAAAGTTCCAGGGAACACTTTCCCACGTTGTATACTTGCAGCCCAAACGTCAGTAACGTGGCTTCAGCTACACAGTTTAGAACCAGTAAGAGGACAAGATGAACAGCGGAGCCCCCTGTTCCCCACTTGTCTAGTGACCTTCACCCCAGGGTTCCCCAAAAGGGAGGTTGAAGAACGCGGATCCTACTGAATGTTCAGTGAAGACAAAAGCTGGATTTCAGAATTCCCCGCACCATCTCCCCTTCTTCACGATTCCAGCGCCTCATGGGTCTCACTCACTGGAGAGTTTCTCTTTCCCGGCAGGTCTTGGATGCCGACAACCTCGTTGGTGTCGTTCAGATCGAAAACATCCTGGTGTTTGCGGAGTCCTACGACATCGCCCTGGACATCACCTTCCCCAAAGGTCTGTGGGTGACGTCACATGTTCAAGGTCATCTACTTCTGCGGAGAGGAAGACTAGTAGAGGCTGGCGAAGGGTGGGGTCGGTGAGCAGGACGCCTGCCCCACGGCACTGCAGGCCACACGAGCACGCGTCCTGGATGCTCCCTCGGGAGGCAGCAGGGCGCTCTGCTGGCAATCACCTGAGAGAGAGTAGCTCTCCCTGCTGGCAATAGTTTCCCACCGTGCCTAAGAAAGGACCATGCTCAAAACACTACAAATGTACTGCCTGACAGTTCTGAAGTCAGAAATCCAAAATGAACCTCACTGGGCTACCATCAAGGGCAGCCTTCCTTCCTGGAAACTCCGGGTGTGGGTAGATTCATTTCCACACCTTTTCCAGCTTCTAGAAGCCACATTCTTTGGCCCCCTTCTCTTGTCCTTAAAGCCAGAAATGGGTCAAGTTCTCTGACACTGCCATCTCTCAGGTTCTCCCACTCTGTCTGTCTCTTCTGCTTGCGAGGGCCCCCGGGGTTACACAGGACCCACCCAGATAATCCAGGGTAGTCTCTCTAACATGGATAGAACTGGGAGGGATTGTACTTAGTGAAATAAACCAGAAAGAAAAAGAAAAATACCGAATGATTTCACTCATAGCAGGAAAAAAAGAATTGTAATAAAGTAAAAAACGAAAAACAGTCAACAGCTGTAATAAACCAGAGACATTTTACAGGCGTGGAGAGGGGAGTAAGATCAAAACGGGGGCAGGGAGAGCACAGGGGCGACGTGGTGTAATCCCACAGGGATTACAACCGAGATGAAAAATGCAAAAAATTATGTAAAAAAATAAGTAAATAAAAACATTTTTTAAATAAAATAAAGTCAGGCAATAAGCAGCCATAATTCCCTCTGATACCATAGTTCCCCTTTGCATGTAAAGTAGCGAGTCCACGCTTTTGGGGGTTAGGACGGGCTGTTTGGGGTGAAGAGGTCACCGCACTGCCCCAAGGCCCAGGTTAGGTCCCGCTGTGCAGTCCATCCGCTCTCCACTAGTCTCCTTGCCCTGGCAGGTGTCTTTCTCAGCCAGAACTGTACAGTGTTGGCATACATGCTTACCTACATGGCCTGAACCCTGTGACAGAGAGACTTACTGCAGCATTATTTATAATAACGGAATATTGCCAGTAACTTAACCGCCTATCAATACTGGAATAGTATTGCTGTAAGAAGACTATTCTAGGTGATGGAACAGCCTTATCCCAGTATTTCATGCTCCATTAGCCTCACATTTATGAGGCATTTTAAATCATGTGGGGCATTACTTATGAAGTGACACCACGTACAACAGCCCATACTGGCATGGCTATTCCCGCGCTGCATAGTGTACACCTGATACAAAATGTTTTCAAGTACCGGCTGTTTAGCGAAGAGGAGATGGCAGGAAGGACAGTGCTCCCGGGGTGCAAACCAGGGGAGGCCACCCAGAGGGGCCGGGACAGGCCCAGTTCCTGTTGTTGGCTCAGACTCCACAACTAAAGGGTTTTCTAGCCCCAGAGTTTCCAGAAAACAAATTCAGAAAAACTTGTCACCAAGGGTTTTACATGTGCATTTCAATGGGACGTCACCCCACTCCTGGCTCCCATGCCCACTCACCCCTTCCCACCCGGGCCCCGCCCCTGCAGGAGCTGAAGGAGGCCTCGATTTTGGGATCGTCAAGGTCATGGAGGAGGTGAAGCAACCCCTGCAGCTGAAGAACCGTGGGAAATATGAGATTGTGTTCAGGTAAGCAAGCACCGCAGGCACTCGGCTGTTCACATGTGTCGCGGGGAAGAGGAGTATTATCTGGGACGTGAGCAACATCGGTCAAGGCAGTCTCAGAACCAGCTATTGCTTTTAACCTTTGTTGACTTCAAATGGATGGAATTCCAGTTGCTAAGAAAGCAGAGGCTTCACTCTGTTCTCAGCAGTGCAGCCTAAGTGTCCCCTCCAGGGACAGGGATCTGGAGATGTGGGCAGGGACAGGGAGGTGCTGGGGTAGGAAGCCCAGGAGAGACTGAAAACTGGGGCAGGGGCGAGGGGACCTGCCCTCCTCCCACCTCCTATCTATTTTGTAAGTTGGCTTTTCGCATAAGATTTCACGTGAAGAAAAGATTTTCCAATTTTCCTTCTTAACCTTGAGAGCCACTGCTTTAGAGAATCCACATGGCAGCCCTGGGCACTAGAGCACCAACATGAAATGAAACACCAGCTAGAAGAGGCTCATTCTAGCGGAAAGGGTGACCGGGCAGAGGAAGGCGGTCACTCGCTCATGCTGCCTGGCTGCTTCACGAAAGACCCTCCCTCTTCTAGAAGAATTAAGAGGATAAATGGACCACTCCCGCTGGACTTGTACTCATGACCGTTTCATTTCAGCTAATAGAATGCTGGGACGAGAGATGTCCCACCTCAAAGTCATCAGTAGGTAGAATTGGAAATGAAAGTAAATGTAAATAAAAGCTAAAAAGACCTAGATGGGAGCCAGTATCACTTTGACATTAAATGCTGCATGGAAACCCCCTTGTGTGTGTTATTTCGGGTGACGATGGCTGTTCTCTCTACTCCTCTGGTTGTGCAGGACACAGTTGGGTTGGGACAGAGGACCAGGGGTTGCTGAAAGGATGGCAGGGACGTGAAGAAGCGAGGCTGCCTGCTGCAGCCAGGTCTCCCAGAGCATGGGGTGACAGTGGGTCTCCAAGCGTCTCCAGGTGTCCTTCCTCACCTTGAACTGTGTGCTCCTGCCCCTCACCTGCTGCTGTTCTCATGGGGTAGCTGTCTCTGGGGATCCTTGCCTCTCCCCTGCGCCGGGCTTCCCTCTCTAAATGCCTCTATTCCATGGCTTCTGCCCCCAACTTCTTCTTTGCACCCCCCACCTCACACACACACACACACAGTTTCTGCAACTCTCTGTGCTCACTCTGTTGCAACATTCAGTCACTGAGTGGGAAGAGGAGGCAGCGAGGGAAGATGACAGACAGAATGAAAGGACAGAGAAGGAGCAGTAGAGAGATTACCTAACACCTAACTTAGTTCATCCTCACCCAGCATCAAGAGTCCCTGTTGGGGCGCGCCTTCAAGGTGACCCCGTGATCATGGGTTAGAGATGGCTCCATGCCTCAAGCAACCCCTGTCCTGGCCAACCCTGGCTAATGAGGGTGGCCACAGAGGGCAAGGCGTAGTGGGCACTGCTAGGCATTGTGCTTAAACAAGCCAGACATGCCTGCATTTCACAGGGAAGCGTCTCATCTCTCATATCTAGCGTCTTGAGTTCCCTGGAGAATGACTTTAAACATCTTTTGCTCTTGTCTTTCAGCTTTTCTGTGGACTGTATAGGGCTTACAAGCACCAACATAAGTTCCATGATCACAGTGCAACCCAAGAAGGGCTCACTGGTATCAGCAGAAAAGCCCTCAAATATCCAGGTGTTCTTCCGTGCAAAAAAAGAAGTGAAGATAGAGCACCAGCCAGTTCTGCGCTGTCAGGTGGGAGAACGCAAAGGGAGAGACTGACTTACCAGCCAAGCTGTGGGTCTCTTGTGGAAAAGAAGAGGCCATGGTCTAGCCACTGCCCCAAGGGGAGAAAGAAGGGACTAGCTTGGGGCAACCGGGGTTTGGGCCACCACTAGCAGGCATGGGTAGGCCAGGCGAGAGGTGTGCAAAGTCATTGGAAATTAAGAACACCAGAGAAGAAACATGGCCCTGGTCCTTGGGAAGAGCTCAGTCGTCAGTTCCAGCAGAGGTCTGGGCAAATGAAAATAGGAAGGAGGAAGAGATGGCTCGTGGTTAGTATTTCTTAACATCAATGCAATAATATCAAGAAAATGAAACAAGGAACCTGGCTTCATGTCAGTTGTAAAAATAGGCTCTAAAGTAGACAGGGGGTTCTGGAGTCCTGCCAGCTATCAACACTCCCCAATCCTTCCTTCCTTTCTAGATTATTGAGCCCAGTATGTCAGAAACAGGTGAAATTATCGCCAGCATCCCAATTAAGTTTTCTGTGAATGCTGTGTACTCCAAATACAACATCAGCCCCTCCTCCATCATCAACTTTGGGGCTTTGATCTGCGGCACTCGTAAAAGTGCCACCTTCACCATAGAAAATCAAGGTGCTACGGACTTCAAATTCGCCCTTTATAGGCTGACAGGGGAGATCCCCATTCATCAGAAGAAAACGTAAGACACATATTTAACTCATACCATCCCCTGGATTATATTTTACAAAGAGTTTTCACATATTCTATATCATACACTTCTGAGTATCGTGTATTTGTGAGATCACGAAGGTTTATAAAGATGATACAGGAAATGGCCAAGAGATCTTAATTCTGAACCCACATCTTCTGGACCCAGATTTCATACATCTTCTAACTGCTGTCGACTATATGAGACATTTTAGTTGAACAAATGTAAGGTTATCTCCTTGGGAGTGTGTATTTTGTCCTGGTGCTGCTAGTAAGCGGCAAAAATTTACTAATAAGTCACTCATTGTCCTGTCATTCTTAGGACATTCAGGAACTGTTACAACAGCAGGCTAAATCAAAGGCTACAGAAGTCATGATGGCAAAGGGCACCTGGGAAAAGTAGGCTAGAGAAAACATGGCCGGGGCCTTAGTCTCTTGGGAGTGTTTTTACCTCCTCCCCATGGGAAGGACCCTTTATTACAACCACTAACTTGTTTCAACAACATAACTCTGTTTTGATTCACTCAGTTTACCTTTTTGAGTGCTTTCAGCTCTTCCAGGATCATAAAATTACTATTTGGAAAATTTAAGGTAGTTTTTCCAATTCCCTAGTCACCTTACCTAGAATGTCCGGTAAATTAATGATTTTTTTCATTATAATTCCTCACAAATGTAATTTTTGAATATTGTATAAAAGCATTGTATAAGAAGCTAGGTCTTCTTTGCTTTTCTCCACCACTCTCCCTTTTGACACCCTGTCTCTTCTCGTACCCCCTTCCTCATAACCTCAGCCCTCTCAGGATGTTTGTTGATCCTTCCTTGCAGCCCTGGGGTGAATCTCAGTAGATCATCACATATAATTCTTATGATATACTGGTGACTTCAATTTGCTAGTATTCTTGAAGAATTTTGAATTAATTCTAGGCCAGTATTTTTGGTATTGGAATAATATTGGTATCAAAGATGTATTCAGAAGGACTCCTTGCATTTTTAAAAACAATTTGAGTATGATGGGTATTAGTTCTTTAAAAGTTGATAAACTCATTTATAAAGCCATCTGGTCCTGGGGCAAAAGTTTATTATTGTTTCAACCTCATGTTTATGATCTGTGTATTCACTTCATCTGTCACCATCCCAGCCTGAGGATGTATTCTTGCTCCCTTATCAGAACTGCCCATCTTAAGCATGCAAGGTCTCGAGAAAGCGATAGCTTCAACAAGAGTGTCACGCCCAAAGCAGCCAAATTCTCTGATGCTGTTCCGAAAGATGTAAACATGCCAAACCAGGTGAGCATCCCTCTCCTTGTCCACGGGAACCTGGTAAGGCCACCTCCCAACTAGTTCTCTCACGAACGCCTTCTTAGGACAGAAGGATTTGAATCTACTCTGGTAGGAATATTCTGTCATACTGAACTATTTCTTTCATTTGAAGATAAAAGTGTTGAGACTTCTAATTCAGATGCCCTCCTTTGTGTTGACACTTTCATTGACTCTCCATTATTTTGAAGTGAAGCTTCAACTCTTCATCTGCATTTTAATCCAAAATCATTTGCTTGTAAGAAAGAGAAGCCCATCCAGGCTAATTTAAATAAAGGGAGATTTTTGAAAACTTCTGTCCCTAGTAAAATGTAGTTGATCTTTTCTTCCATGTACTTCCCAACTTAATTTTTCAGTTTTATGATGGCATGGAAGCATTGCACAATCACAAAAAACTACCTCTGCCGTAACCTGTCAGAACACTCAGCAGAACACCACAGTACTCTAGATTGGTCGATTCTATGTGGCTGACAAGGCCATTTTTTCTGATCAAAAGCAGGTTTTTTATATGTAAACAGTGACAGAAGAAAGGCTTAAACCTCTGTGAATGTGAATGGAAACTTGGAAATACTCATTTTTATAACCACACATTTTTTTTGTTGTTGTTAATCTCGGGACTAGTGATAGTGGTTGTGATGTTCTAGAGACTCTGGACAGTGGCAGAGAGCCACTACTCCCAGCCAGCGATGGGCCTATGATGTTAGACAATGTTCTGTGTAGTGTCCTTTATCACCTGTTCTTGAGTCTCAATGGGAGAGAGAAAGTGATGACCCTATCACTTAAGTAGCTTCCCCATCTTTCAGCAGTTTTTTTTTAAAGATTTATTTATTTGTGTTTACAGGACTGGGGTATACGCCAGAGGTGTGGTGGGTGAGAGGATTCACCAGAGACAGAATGGGGAGCAGAACAGGCAGATGCACTGAGATACACTGCTGAGGTGGAGCAGTGGGCAGGTCAGGAGAGGTCTGCCGCGCCATGTGGGTCAGCAACCTGCGGAGATCAAATTCATGCTGCAGTGGCTTTGGAGAGCTTCATAATGTGGTGCGCCACCAGGGGGAGCCCAATTCAACAATTTTTTTATTTCAGTGTTTCAAATATTCTTTAGACTCAACCTGCTTGCCGTTGCTTACATTAATGGTGAGGACCCAGGCAACCATTCTTCTCATCACTTTCAGTAGAGTATTCTCTAAGTTGCATGAGGTAGTCATTGCTTTGCTATAAAAAAGACTTTGTGTTGATTTTGACCAACTGTAGGTTAGTGTTCTTAGGTAGGCTAGGAGCTGTGATGTTTGCTAGGTTAGACAGATTAAATGAGTTTTCAGTGTCAAACATTTATTAGCTATAACCCAATTGTTACTCAAGGGACAACTGTACAACCAAAATCCTGGACATCATATATAAATAGAAGATGGAAAGGTGGAGATTAAAAATCATACTAGTGGGACTCCTTGGGACCCAAGGTGATTTCCCTGCCTCTTTTGCCTCATATAGCCCTGGTAGAGAGCTCAAGGAGCCAACAACCCAGAAACATCAACAGGCATAAATAAACATCCCTAACACAAGACTTTGATTTACATTTGGACTTGGCACGATGGACTTGGTCCATTCGCCAAGGGGCCAAGAAAAGGGCAGCCTAAAGAACAGAAAACTTTCAGATAATAACTGTTCAGTAACAGCCAAGGGCAATAGAAACATCTGTGGTCCACCCTACCCCTGCTGGCAAAGGCCGGGGGGAGCCTAGGCTTCCATGTTGTTAGTGAGTTGGACATTCACATGCAAAAGAATGTCATTAGATCCTCATTTCACACCCCCCACAAAAATTAACTCAAAATGGATTGAAGACTTAAACCTGAAACTACAAACATACTAAAAGAAAACAGGGGGAGAAGTTTTTGACCTAGGTCTTTGCAATGATTTTCTGGATATGACATCAAAAGTACAAGCAGCAAAATCGAAAACAGACAAGTGGTAATATATCAAATGCAAAACTTTCATACAGTAAAAGAAACAACCAACAGAGTGAAACAACCAGCAGTCTGTGGAATAGGAGAAAATATTCACCAAACGTGTTAATATGCAAAATATGTAAGGAATCATAGAGCTGAATAGCAAAACAAAAAATCTGATCTTAAAATGAGAAGAGGACCCAAATAGACATGTTTTTCCAAAGAAGACATACAAACACCATTTATCATCAGGAAAATGTAAATCAGAGCCATCATGAGATACCATTTCACACCTGTTAGAATGGTTATTATCAAAAAGACAAGAGGTAAGTGTTGATGATGAAGTGGAGAAAAGGGAGTCTCCTTTGTGCATTGTTTGTGGGAGTGTAAATTGGTACAACCACTATGGAAAATAGTAAGGCGGTTCCTCAAAAAATTAGAAATAGAGCTACCATATGATTCAGCAACCCCACAAGGAGGTATTTATCCAAAGGAAATAAAATCACTCACAGATGCAAATACTCACGTGTTTGCTACAGCCTTATTTGCCATAACCAAGACATGGAAATCACCTAAGTGTCCATTAGTGGATAAGGAAAATGATATAAAATTATGTAATAAGTACCCATGGAATATTATCCATCTTTAAAAAGAAGGAAATCCTGTCAAATCCTGCCACTTGTGACAGCATAATGGGCATTGAGGGCACTATTCTAAGTGAAGTAATCAGACAGCAAAAGACAAATGCTATATGATCTCACTTATACATGGTATTTAAAAGCATCAAACTCATAGAAACATAGAGTAGAATAGTGGTTGCCAGGAATCTGGGGGTTGGGAGGAATGAGGAGATGTTGGTCAAAAAGTACAAACTTACAGTTATAAGAATGTACTGGTATCTAAAATTCAGTCTGGTGATCCCAGTTAACATTACTGTGTTATATATTTTAAAGTTGCTAAGAATAGACCTTAAAGTTTTCATCCCATTCACAAAAGTTGTAATTGTATGAGGTGATGGAAGTGTTAGCTAGCCTTGTAATCATTTTGCAATAAATATAGCAAATCTTCACATTGTATACCTCAAGCTACAAAGTATTTCATGTCATTTATATGGAGGGTACAAAAAGAGAAAGGAAGCTCCCAAGAGTCAGAGGGGTTCATGCCAACACCCCATTTTTGAGCACAAGTTATGTGCCAGGTGCTATGCTAAGTACATAGCACACATTCTTTGACTTAAACCTCCAGTGATCTCTGGGTAGGGTCGTTGGCCACCTTTTATGGAAAGTTGAGGCTCAGGGAAGGCATTTGTTCAAAGTCAGGTAGTTAATTCATCGCAGGGCTGGAATTCAAGCCCAGGGGTATCTGACTCAATGTCCACCATCTTAGTAACTTCTGTTCCCTCTGCTGGGAGGCTCCCATCTGGCTAATTGTCCAGAATGGAACCCTGACCCAATAGTGATTGGCTGGAGGAATATACTTAGGAAGAAGTTGGGAGAGCCTGTCACTGCAGCCTCCCCCTCCCCCGACCCTCCCTGCTTCCAAGAGAACTGGGCCCCAGAGAAAGCCCATGGGGAGAAGTCCCACTTTCCTGGCGATACCTTCTCCCAGCTCTGGTGGGAGGCTCAGACTCTGCTGCCCACTCTGCCTTCTGCCCCCCCCCACCGTCTCCCACAGGCTCGCTTCACCCACGGCATGTTCACTGTGTACCCTGGGTTTGGCTCCATCTCCCCTGGAGGAGTCCAGGTCATCTCCGTGGACTGCTTGGCTGACCCGTTGGGAAAATGCGAGGAGTTTATAGCGATCGACATCTCTGACCGAGACCCCAGGGACCAGCCTGCTGGCATTCCTTACACTCTGTTGGCTGAAGCCTGTCTGCCAGGTACCGGGCACTCAGATTGGACAGCCACCCTCCAGAGTCCTCCCTCTGTAAGGTTCCTCCCAGGCAAATGTCCTGCAGACAGGACAGGGCTGTTCCCTTTGGGGCCTCAGAACATCCATCTACTATCTTCAGCCGTATTTTTCCTAAAAGACCTAGGCCCGACACCCAGGAGTGTGCAACTTTAGATTCTGCTTTTCCCAAGTTTGGTCCAGGATTCTCAGATGCGTATTGGTGAGATGGGCCATGATAGGGGCCCCAGCAAGTGGATTCTGCCCATGGACTACCTCCCATGAGCAGCACGCACAGGGAGCCCTGTCAACGTGTGAAGAACTGGCTGGCCCAGCCGGTGCAGGTGCAGCCCAGAGAGACCTCCCTTTGCTGTGACTCCAGACAGCCTCGGGCCAAGTGGGCCAAGTGGGCCAAGTGCCTCCTTCCCTCCCAGCCCTTCACATCTTAACCTTCCTCATCCTGGAGAGAAAGGTGGCAAGGGCCTGGGGACACGCAGGGGCAGTGCCCAAGGGGCAGAAAGGCAGAATTTGCCCCACAGCACTCACCCCTGTGTGAATTCCCTGCTTCTGTCCTCACGACTGTGCTCACCCTCCCAGTGGGGGTGACAGAAGTGGGAGTCAGGCTGTCCGGCTTCGCCTCTGCAGCCTCTCTCCCTTCCCCAGCCTTTGTGACAGACAACAACGCCTTGATCTTTGAGGAGCATCAGATGTGTCACAGCTCCAACCTGCACAACATCCTGCAGACCACGGAGCTCGTGGGGCTGTTTGTGGAAGATGAGAACAAATTTATCTTCTGCAACGTCCTGGTGGGCCACCAGGCCAAGGCTCGCTTCAAGATCTGTAACCAGGGGAAGATCGCCTGTGATGTGAGCATCATGGTGAAGCCTGTCTCCAGCAAGGTGAGCTGCAGAGCGAGATCCCCAAGGAGTGCCCCCTGCCAAATCCAAATGAGAGGGTGTGACCTGGCCCCTGGGCCTGGTGGAAATTCTGTGAGGTGCCTGGGTGGTTTCCCCCAGGCCAAGGTTATACTTTGGCTCGAAAGGGGGGCCTTCCTGAATACCTGGGGACAAACTGTCATACACCAAAACAACCCACTCTTGTACAAACACCTACTGTGGCCAAGCTTTGTGGGGGAGCGAGCAGGTGCCAGCCAGGCAGCTGCCTCATGATTGCATTTGCCTGGTAAGGACATTTTGGGGGCTGTCAGATGACTTAGCCAGGTAAAGTAATGTGCATTTATTGAGCTCCAGCTGTTTGCCGCACACTGTGCTCAAAAACCTGTCTTTATGGCTTCACTTCACCTTCACAAGTTATTATTTTTTTTAAAGATATATTTATTTACGCGTACAGAACTGGGGTACAGACCAGAGGTGCAGGGGCAGTGGGAGGATTCACCAGAGACAGAGTGGGGAGCAGAACAGGCAGATCGACGAAGTACACTGCTGAGGGGAGCAGCAGGCAGGCCAGGAGAGGTCTGCTGTGCCATGTGGGTCACTTCCGGCATGGCAGGGATCGAACTCATGCTGAAGTGGCTTTAGCTTCTCAGTGCTGTGCTTTAACCCGCTGCGCCACCAGGGAGGCCCCAGGCTTTGTATTATTATCCTAGCACTCAGTTAGGGGAATTGAAGCTCCAAGAGGCTAAACCCCTCCTCTGGGTGCCCAAGCCTAGGGAAGAGGGGTCGAGACTCAAAGTTAAGCTGCCCCCACTGACTCGGTAAGGTGTGAGTGCCGACAAAGCTGCTTTCCCCTCTGAGTCAGGCCCATGGGGTTTTTGTTTTTGTTTTTGTTTTTGTTTTTCCACATTGAAATGAAAGTCTGGGAAACAGAGAGGGCTCAGTCAGGGGGCATCACTCCCCTCCACTCCCAATCAGAAGGGCAACAAATGCTGCCAAGTCTCAGCGCAACTGCTTTAGTTCTCTGCCCAAGGTGGAATCTTGGCCAGGTGATCCTGTGTCCCAGAGAAAGCCATCCCTGCTCACGGCTGGCGGCAGAGGGCAGATCCCACCAGAGGGCTGAAGCCCCGCAGAGGAGAGGGTGTAGCTCCCGGCACTCACCACAGAGTGGCGCTGTTGGGGGGTCACCTGGTCCCCTTTATGGCCTCCCTCAGGCATTCTTAGTGACATGCAGTCCTTGCTCTCTGATCTTATTTGGGACCTAAAGGGGCAGCTTCCTCCCTAGTCTGTGCTGAAAACACAGTGAGAAGCCTGCTTTCTAAAGCCAGGCAGATGTTTAACAGTGGATTTGTAGGTGTCACGTGTCCTCCTCCCAGCTAACTTGCAGGAGGTCCCTTGGAAAGACCAAAGAAACCCGAGTGTCCTCTGCTTAAGAACAGAGGGACCAGTCAACCTACACCTGTCTCCCAGGAGAGTGAAAACTCAAGGCCATGCCAGGGGCCCCCCAGTTCCTGGGGGTCTGTGAAGTACTGTGGAGGCTGTTCTAGCTGAAGCTCCTGTTGCAAGGAACAGACACTCCAGCAGGTACCTGCATGATGCACCAAGGTTGCAGGCAGCCGAAGGCACCAGGTAGCCAGAGCTCTAGGGCATGGGGACTGCCACCTGCCCTCAGCCTTCGGAAGACCCAAAGGGTCTCTGTGCCTTTTCCATGTGTGTCTCACTCGTGGTGCCTCTGAGGTTCACTGTCTTGTATGGCATCCGGGTCAGATCCACAATGACAAGGTGATCTCTGGAACCTTAATGCAGGGGACAGGAGAGAGAGAGCTGCTGAGGTCTAGTCCAGCCCATCTGCTCATGTCAAAGGTCACAGGTGTAGCCAGTCCAGCCAGTTACTGCTCAGGGGCAGATCCACGCTATCTGGGCCACTGCCACTCCTTCCTGGGACACGGTCATGCAGGCAGTGACGAGACGTGTCCCATCCCAGGGAAGGGAGATGTCACAACAGGCAGAAGGGCTGAGCCGCAAACCCTGTGTAAAGGCAGCGCCCACAGCCCACTCCCCGCCCGCAGGTGTACGCCCGGATCACCGACATCTTTGAGGTGGAGCCCAGCAAGATGTGTGTCCCCAGCCGCTCACACGCCTTCGCCACGGTGTCGTTCATGCCGCAGACCATGCAGAACTACCAGTGTATCTTCGAGGCCTCGCTGGACGGCTTGCCCAGGTACAGCTCCCCAGCCAGCGCCCCACCTTGGCCGGGCTGCCGGCTCCACTCCCACGCAGTGTGGTTCCTGCCCCTCTGGACAGCCTCCATCTTCTTGGCCCCTGCAGCAACCTGGCCAAGAACCGAAACCTGGTGTTCGATATCGTGGGCGAAGGGAACCTCCCTCGAGTGACCATTGTGCGGCCGATTCTCCGTGACCAGCAGGGAAACCCTATGTTCCTCTTTAAGAAGCTCCTACTGGGTCTCTCAGATAAACTGCCCCTCGTACTCAAGAACAGCGGCAACATCCCCACCCAGGTAGCACTGGTGGGAAGGAAGGGGTGGAGGGAGATCACAGGAGTCAGGCCTTACGCCACCCCTAATGCGTGAGCGCTGCTGCTTCGCTGTTTCTCCTACCTCAGCCTGTGTAGATGTGGGCGGGGCAGAGGGCGTTAGAGCTGGTCCCTGCCCCGAAGGGCATGATCCTGTCAAAGATTACAGGCTCCTGACAGTCACTGCACAAGGCAGCGTCATGGGCGGACCCCATCGAGGGATGATGTTGCGGATATCCCTACTAGCTTCTTTATTCCTGCACTTTTTTCAGTAACAAATATTGCACTATTAATGAGAAAAAAAGCAATAAAAGAAACCTCATAGGAGAGATGCAACTTCTGAACGACCTTTCCTTTCAATGATTAAATTATGTTTTTAATTTTGCAAAAATGAAAAAAGGTGGTAAGTTGTGCAATAAATAAAGGACAGTAGGATTGTTGAAAGTAATTACTCCTATTTAGGAACTCAAAGAAAAGTCACTGTAAAAGGACACTTGACTTAGGCATTGAAGGTGCACAGAGTGTCAGTAAGTGGGCACACCAGTGAGGGCATCCCCAGTGGGAGAGGGCCCCAAGGACAAAGGATTGGGAGCCCATAGTGTGTGAGACACAGGCAGCCAGCCGCCTAGCCCATCGGCGTGGGAGATGAGCAGAGGGGTACTGAAACCGGAGAGCAGAATAAAGACACAGTTCGTGGGGCACTTTGTGTAAATGCTGTAAACCCTCCACAACACTAGAGCCATCACATCGTGACCTGTACAGTTACAGCTCACTGTGTTGGCCCGCGTTAACGCTCCTCCAGTCTTCCTTCTTGGGTCTCCGGCTTTCCACCTGAAGTGTTTCCCTAAATTCCAAAGAGTATTCTTCAGGAATTCCTGAATGTGGAGCTGCTGGTGGTGAAATCTCTCCACTTTTCCCTTGGAAATCTTCATTTCTCCTGTATTTTCAGTGTCATTTTTACGGACTATAGAACTCTGGGTTGGCAGGGTTTCAGCAAACAGGAGATATTATTCCAGAGTATTCTGGTTTCCATGGTTACTGCTGAGCTATTGGCTGTCAGCCTACAATGTTGTTTTTATGCATCTTCCTGCTCCCTGTCATTTTGCATTTTGCATTCTGTTTTCTGCAGATCCACTATGATGCCTCTCGGTGTGGATTTCTTTTAGTGTCTCCTTCTTGGAAATTACCAGGCATCCTAACCCTGTGATGGATGTCTAAAATCCATCCATCCTGATTCATCACTCCCCAGGGAAGCCAATGTAGGCACACCTTCCCCCCATAGCCCCTGTATCTCACAACCTCACTGTGTTTTCCAGTGATTTTTCTCTGGGCTTCACCCCATGATTCTTCTCACATATCTTCAGCTCATTAGTTCTCCCTCTGTAGCTGTTCTGTGAAACTTCCCACTAAGTTCTTAAGTTATTACATCTTTCAATTCTAGTTTCTGTTAGGTCATTTTTCAGATCTGCATTGTCAATTTTTGAGATTTTTAGTTTCAGGCTGAAATAATAAGACTTGTCTTTTATTTCTTGAACTCGGGAATCCCAGCCATTTTTTTCACTGTGTCAGATAATTCCAAAATTTGAAGTCTCTGTGCAAACTCTGTTTCTGATACTTGGCTCCTCCTGCTCCCTCTTGCCCTGGGTGTCCTCAGTCTCCTGTGCCTGTCTTTTAATTACGTACCGGGTGTTATATTTGAAGAATTAATTAGAAATAATTAGACTAAGGATGATGATTTTCCTTCAGAAACAATCTTTATGTGCATCTGCCTAACACTTGTGGGTCCTAGAAACTCAGATCACCTTAAATTGGTTTTGGGGCTTGAGATGTTCCTTGATGACCAGGAGCAGGATTCTATCCCCAGAGAGACTGGTTTCTTCCCAGCACACCTTTTGTTTTACAGTGCAGCCTTTCAGGGCACAGTGCAGAAAAAAGAAAGCACCCTACCCATCACAGGACTGAGGCCCCTGCACACAAGGAGGCACCCCCCACCTTCCAGACTGGAAAATGTCCCAGGTCCACCACAGCCCAGAAAGCGATGCTGGCCTCTCTGGATTCCCGTCTTCTCCCAGATCTTGGTCTTTCCATTATCTCCTTAGCTCCGTGATGCTCTTAAGAATTTTTATCTTCTTAATCTAGCAATATTGTATTCTTTTGAGTTCCAGTTACTTAATCATTACTCTGCATTTAGAAAAAGTTTTAGCATCTAGTTCAGTAAATTCCTACCCGCTCCCCACTTTTCTAACTTTTCTTAACAACTTTCACATGTATAGCCTCTCGGGTGAAATGTGGACATCACTTCATAATGTTCCTAAAAAAATTCACTGGAGACCTCCATGGTGGCCTCGGGTTAAGTCTCAGTGCTATTACTGCTACAGTCTGAGTTTGATCCCCCGCCAGGGAGCTGGCCCACAGGGCACAGCAGGCCTCTCGTCTCACCTGCTGCTCCCCTCAGCAGTGTTTCAGTCAGTCCACCTGTTCTGCTCCACTCTGTCTCTGGTGAATTCTCTTACCACCTCCCTAACACCTCTGGCCTTATACCCCAGTTCTTCTAGGGAAAAAAAAATCTATTGGGAAACCTATGAATTTGGGGGGAAGGACTTCTACTTTTAGAGTATTTAGTCTCCCCACCAGGAGTAGCATATAGGATTCCCACCCATTTATTTGATCTCCTTTCATGTCAATGTATTTTCATATATTCATAAGTTCTTTATGAAGGCCATTTCTAGATATATATATATATATATATATATATATATATGTTAAAATATTCCATGAAAATCTGTTTTCAAGAACACTTAGTCAAAATTATTTAATTAATTTCCCCCCTTGTATCCTTTTCTCAAGCAACAGTGGTCAAAGTGAATTACAAACTAGTTCTGATTTTATTCTTTTTTTTTCTTTTAGCTTTTCAGAATAATTGTTATTTTGTGAAGAAGTTTTCCATATATTTACATGAATTTTTGTGTCCTAGGAAGGAAAATCCCCTCGGCAGTGTTTGAAGGAAGGAAACTGCAAAGCTTTGAAATACTCATTTTTTGAATGTAAAAGATCAATGGTAAGTGGTTAAAGATTTTAAAAAGTTTACGCCAAAAAATAGCTATCTGGAGTTAAACATGTGACCTATTAGTTGTAATTAAATTGCAGTGATATCACCTGGGAGAAAAATGGATGTAGACAGTTTTCCTTAACTCCAAGAAGTTAATGGTGGCATTCATGAACCCAACACTAACTGTTCAGTTACTTGACCACTGTGCTATCCACAGCTGCTGATTTTCATGATTTTCTAGAAGTATGAGAATGAAATATTGCAAGAATGGTAAAAGCTGACATTGGTCACTGTGAATTCAGGACAATTGGCAGTTACACACAAACCTGTAATGTATACACATGCCTAGATGTAGAGATGTGACCAGGGAAACTGTATCTGTTTGAATTTTTGGAGTGATGGATTGTATGAAGAGAGCCTGAAAGGACATCATAAATTCCTAGATTTCCACTGACATTGGTCGATTTAAAAATTTACAAAGATCTTTGGAATGGAAACTGACAAAATTTGAAATCAGAACTATGAATACCACTTTAAAGAAAGCAGGAACTTGAACCTGCTTTCGTTTAGAAATGGTTGTATTGCTCTTGTTGACAAGAGAAGCAAAGTGTATGGAATATTTATTACCTGGGAGGCCAAAGAACTTGAGCATGCTTGTTAACTAATCAGATCCAGGGTGTAGTGTAAAGTTAGATGAAATTGACCACACTCCTACAAAAGGGGACAGTGGAGAGTGAGGAACAGAGGGAAGGGTGAAGGACTGTAGGTGTTTTGGTGATGGGGTATGTGGTGACATACATCTGAAGTGTGACCCTTTGCCCCTAAATCATAGAGTGTTGTAAACTCTATGTTCTTACCTTTCTTACATGACATGGTTCCTTGTCACATTTTCCTGTCAGTTACAAATAATGTACAAATTAGGATTTACTTGCCTTCTCCCACCTCGTTTGGCTCTTCATGTAAAATATAAGCCTTTAGGATTGAAAGAGATACTTGTACCCCCATGTTTATTGCTGCTTTATTTACAAT